TTATTATTATTTTTTTGCTATTTCCAGCAAAAAACACCTAGTTGATAAACTGGATTCAGACTTACAATTACAAAATTTACTTAATGACTGTGATTTGTTTAACAATTGTAGTGGCTCATTCTTAAATGACTATGCTGACCATTGAGTCAATTGTCATAAAATGAAGACTACCTATATATACAATTTGAGAATAATAATCCAGGTTAACAAACTATACAGAATCTGCCTATCTGCAGATTTGTACTTTTTTATATAGATTGGCTCTATACTGATATCCAATTGATTATGTGAAGGCAGAAATTTCTTTTTAAATTCTCTCTCTTATGCACTGAAGGGATATATATGCATATGTTTCTAATCACAGGCTAAACTGGATAAAAACTGCTGATTTGGGGAGCTCTGTGTTTGTGTAGGAATATATGTGTGGGCATAATGGATTATATAGGACAAAGAAAGAATCAAGTGTGTGTTCATATGTATCTGAACAAAAAAATGAGGAAGGCCACAATTCACACAAGCAGAGGTGGTATTCAGCCAGTTCGAACCGATTCGAGTGAACCAGTAGTGACGACCTGTGGGTGGGCACCCATCCTCCTGGGTGCAATCCCATCCTATATCACTGTGTTTTTGATGCTGCATGCATGTGTGGACAGTGCGCGCAAGTGAATTGCTGTGTTGTTTGATGTCGCATGTGCGGACAGTGTGCATGAGCAAATTGCCATGTTTTGTGATGCCATACGAATGCGCGGATGGTGCGTGTTCACATTACTGGTGCTGGGCAAACCAGTTGCATGTGAATCCCACCTCGGCACACAAGGATATAACCGTTCACTTTGAGATTAGTCTCTCTAGCATGCTTTCCTAGAATACGTTTGGCCCTTGAACTGAAATAGAACCTTTAATTGTGTCATAATATAAGGAAAGGCAACAAGCTACATTGGAACTATTGTGTTAGAGTCTCTTACACTTGCATGTTAGTCTGTTTTCAAATTAGAGCAAGGATGAAAATATGTTTCCAAAGCTGGAACTATTGCATTTTGGCATAAAGTAGAATGCATTGCTAAGACACACTGCAGTATTTAAAACTGAAGGAGTAACCAAAGACTGTGCCAAGTCACTGACATTTAGGTTTAAAATTTTACTTCTATTTCTTTTAGCCAAATCACGTTTTCCTCAAAGATGACCACTACATTTCTGGGCCTCTTGCATGGACAGAAGCATCTGCCCACACTCTGCACCTTGGGAATATGTCCATCCACCTGCTGTTGTGTTAACCAGCTGAATGATAGGATTAACACTTCTTGAGAAAGACTGTGACCTCCTTTAAAGCAAAGCAAAAAAAAAAAAAGGTGTGTGTGTGATCTGAGCTAAGGATAGAAGTGAGATGGACCAACAAGATCCAGCCTAAAGGAATGTGTGGATGACCTTGGGGGATGAGGGAAAAAGATACTGCCTAGGAAACAATCAGAGAAGAGAAAGGAGAGCCCAAAGCTTAACAGTCAGAGGAAGAAACCTAGGAAAGCCCTGCCCTAATTGATCAGACAGTTAAAAGTGACAGCAGGAAGCTTGTACCTTCAGACTTGCAAGATTATGTAATCTTCCAAGATTAATGTAGTCTTACAAAAAAAAGTAGAATGAACTCATCCCATTATGTTTCCTGTTTGGTTTATCCAAGGGTGCTGAGAACCAGCAACATGGGCTCTTAAGATTGGAAGAGAGCAACGGTTGCTGTTCTTTCAAAAGCCTGGATAAAACTGAAACACAGTTTATTCCTGTTTAGGAAGAAAATAATCTGCCTATCAAATGCTAATGCCATTTCAAGCCCTGATGGAAATTTTGGAAAAGTCACTTCTTTCTTATTATTTGTGACATTTTAAGGAGAATTTTAGATACACATTCCAGTAGAGAGAAGGTCTCTGAGGATGTCTCCAGCACAAGCTCAGAAGACTAAATCTCTAGCCCTAGATTGGAATTTTAGATACTTTCAGAAAAATGGCTGATAGTATTGTCAATTAGAAAGTACGGCATGATTATTTTTTGGGTCCCTTCCTCCTTTCTGGATTTCTTTCCTGATAAGGAAAAAAGATAGAAGGAAAGAAAGAAGTGAAGCTAAATGTGAAATGCCTCACCTAGATGCTGCTCTTCTTTCATCTGACTCACAGTCCGTATTTCATATTGTGTATTTCAACAACATTTCTCATCCCCCTCAGGACACATGGCAGTTAAATCAAGGGCTGGCAATACATGATGTACAATCACAGAGTGCACCTTCCAATGGAAGAAGAGAAAATGCTAAGTGAAGAACTGAGATAGCCAACTGAGTGGTAGAAAAGTAGAAAGTAAAGTAAAGGCAGAAGTCCACTTGCATTCTAAAGAAGCAGAGCCTACCACTAAAATATATGAAAGTGACAAATAAATTCATGGATTTCCTCCAAAAAGCTTTATTATCTGTAGAGCCCTTGGGAGTGTCTGAACTTATTTGTTTCCTTGCAGATATTTGATTATCTGGCTAGGTAACAATATCTAGACAAGTAACGAAGCATCTGCAAAAAAATAACCATGTTCAGAGACCACCAAGCACTCCAAGGTTCAACACTGAGCTACAGATATACACTTCTGTTGGTAGAAAGGGGGATTCATCTTTGGGTATGTGCAGAATTTCTCAGTTACTGTATTTTCCGGCCTATAAAATGACTTTTTAACACATGAAAATCTTCTCAAAAGTTGGGGGTCGTCTTATACGCTGGGGGTCGTTCTCCTGTAACCAGGCAGACCAGCCCGAAAGGCTCTGACGAGCCAAGCTCTGACCACCCCAGCTGAGTTGCCTGCTAATCAGGCAACTCAGCTTGGATCGTCAGAGCCATTTAAAAATCATTTTTTAAAAAAAAGATATTTAAAAAAAGACATTTAAAATCCCCCCCTCCAGCTTGCTTACCTTAGCTGCTAGTCGAAACACTTGCCTTGCTTCGCTTGCCTGCAATCCATTGCATCAGCAAGCAACTGAATTTCTCTACCTGCAATCAAGCAGGCAGGGAGTTGTGGATTTCAACTCCCAGAATTCCTCAGCCAGCTTTGCTTTGCTGGCTGAAGAATTCTGGGAGTTGAAGTCTACAAGTCTTTAAAGTTGTCAAGGTTGGAGACTCCTGTTCTATTGGGTAAGTTTTTCCCCCCTTTGGGAGCTTTTAAAAAAAAAGTTAATTGGGGTTTTTTTTAGTTGTTCTTTTTTTAGATCTAGCCATTTAAAGTTTAGGAAGTTTAAATTTAGCTGCTTTCATATAAAAATAAAAATAAAATAAAATAAAATAATATAATATTTGTACAGCTTTCTGAGATTTAGTGTGTTTCTGTAGTGTTTCACTCTAACTACACAAACACACAAATCTCACAAAGCTGTATGTGGAATTTTGTGTGTGTAAAGTGTGAAAGTTGGGTTTTGGGGCTTTTTGTGGCTGTGTGAGGTTCCTGCTTGTTGCAGGGGGCATTTTGGATCTAGCACAGCTGCTTTTACATTGTGGGTGAGCCAGCTGTGTTGTGTTGTATGTGTGTAAAGTGCCAGGGACTTGCCCGGCACTTGCTCTCTTTCTATTGTTTGTTATCTTCCTCCTATCATCATCAGTTCCAGTTTGGTTGACAGCTTAGAAAACAAACAGCATGGCAGCTCCCGTGGGTTTATTGTCTTATCCTTTCTTTCAGCTTTAGAGTGAATTAGGAAAAGTTTAATCCAATTGCACTGTTTTATGTTTACGTTTGATGACAAACAGCCTTATGTTTATAAGTGACAGTTTTCCTGCTAAGTACCTGCATGTCATAAGCATTTGAATTAAAATTACCATATTGAAATCAAATCTGATGTTTTTTAATTTTCATTTGGTGTGCGTTGGAAGACGGGTTAGTCTTATATGGCGAGTATAGCCCAAACCCTATATTTTAAGAAGAAAAGTCGGGGGTTGTCTTTTATGCCCAGTCATCTTATATGCTGGAAAATACGGTAATCTTCATTGGGTATGTGCAGAATTTCTCAGCATCTTCATACATGCTGCATTAATCCAATTAGAGAATGCATTCTTTTTCTGGCTTTTGATTTTCAGGTTTCTCTGTCTCTTGTTATCCTTTGCTGACAAACTGTTGATCCTGAATCTCTTGCCAGTTCTTTTGATTGACAAATTCCATTTTAATATTCTTCAGTTGTATTCAGTACAATTCCTCATATTTATAAGTGCAGTCATATTTTCCAATTGCTTTCATTTTATTTATTTAATTTATATTTAAATTATAAATATTTAAATTGTTATATTTATTTATAAAATCTGTTTTGTTCTGAATGGTAAAAACTCGAAGCTACTCTGTTCAGGCTATTTGCTCTTGAAACTTCGTAGTATTAGCTACGAATTAGCTTTGTAGACATCTAGAAATGTTTTTATATGAGAAATGATCTTATCTTTGTAGACATACCATAGCAACCTGATTTCCATGGGATTCACATTGATGAACTGGCAGATTGTTGGCAGCCATAAGACCAGAACAAGCTGGGGCACAAAGAGCATGAACAATGTGAAAAAACAACAACAGGCAAAGGGGGTTCAGAGAGGGGTACCCTTGTGTTCTTTTCCCCAATCCCCCCCCATGCAATGAAAAGAGAGGACACAGGATGTCACTCTATCACAAGTACAAGATGAAGGATTATGGGGCATGGCCGAGGAGCATGGGAGAAAAGTGAAAGGCTACTGAAGTCCCAGAAAGAGGAGTCCAATATCTTCCTGAGGATTACTTATATTGGCAGATGTCATTGTTAGAGCTGAATGCAACAGAGTAGAACGGGCTGCCTGGCATGCTCACTCTTTCATCTGTCCAGGAAAGATAGATGAGGTTTACCCTTACACTTTCAACCAATCCCCCTCTTCAAACTTCAGCTCTGTAGGGTGTGTGGCACAGGAGAAGAGGCGGAGCGTCACACTTAGACCAGTAATGTCTAGCAGACACCCCAGCTGCGCTTCACACAGCCTCATTAGACAGCAACAGAAGCAAGAGAGAGAGAGAGAGACTGGACACCTCAGTTCTTCAGCACAAAAGGAAGTGGGTAAGTTCTTGATGCCAGTTTGGTGCGAGTTACCGCGGTGAGATCTCTGCTACCTGGGCTGCAAAGATGGGGTCCCGACATGACAATCTACAAAGGGGACTGCATTCATGTAACAGCTTTTGTCTGTAAATTTATGCACTCATTATGACATTTTGCAAAAGTGTATGGTGTATGTAAGAGTGAGCTAATGTCTCCATGTAGGAATCAAGATTAGTACATAGGGTTTGTCGCTTGAAGTCTAATCATATATCTATTATTGACACTGCATATTCGTCAGAAAGTGTTTGTTAAAAAATGGTCTAGGCTCTTGTCCAGGCACTTGGAATGCAAAAAATTACAGGCAGCAGCAAAAATGGGCAGAAATGGGCAGGTGTGAATGAATGGCTTAATGCTGAATTCCAATAAATCAATCATTTATCAGTTATTGCACTGAGTTATATTTTTTGTGGTGCCACATGGGAAGCATTGAGATGTCATTTTATTTCTTTGTTGCAACCTGCAGCACATCTGGACAATTAGTGGCAGAATTAAAAGTAAAGAGCAATCGTATAAGGTCACATATGCTGTATAATATGGGGAAAATTGGAAAAATAAACCCAGAGCAGCAACAATTTCTTGCAATGTTTACTTTTAATTAGAGATGGCTTACAAAAATGTTGGGACTTTTGGTAAATGTGAAGGATTTTCCCCTACATTCAATGCTCACAATGAATGTTGCCTTATGTCTGTTTAACGCAGTGTCCAGTGACAGTAGAACTTAATATAAAGAGGAATTGATGCTTTATGTCCATCTTTGTTTCCAAAATGCTGTATCATTACATTTTCCCAACACTAACAAAATATAAAATGGCATTCTCAGATTCTGCTTCATACTTGAGGAGCTCTCATATTTTTGGAGATTTTGTAATGCTTAAATTGAGGATTAGCAAAAAATTTCAAGGCTTTTGTACAAATAGTCTGTTTAATTTTTTGCATCAAGCAACCAATTGGTTCCATATATATTATAGTAAATATATAGCTAATAAACAGAATATACAAATATATAACCCAAATTTTAGTAGACGAATGGCCATTTGATTTAAAAGCAACTCAACATTTGAATTAAAACGGAATAGCAGATATAATAAAGGCTTCTTCTGGAATGCATACGCCATTTTTTAATTTTGTTTTATAATTTTATCTCATTGTTACATACAATTTTTTTTTTACTGATGTACATCATATCAACAGACATTTGAATCATATGAATTAGTTTATGAATCAGTTCAGAACAATATTCTTGCTGGCAAATTTGAGACATATGGTTTTAGGAAATAATGACTTGATACTGACAAAAAGCACCTGGCTAAATCATCATCACGGATTCAGGAAAAGCTGGTCTTGCTCAAATCTATTGTGTGAATTGGGCCTTAAGGGCTGATGTGGGTGTCAGTTGGGTCGGTAAAATAAATCCCTGGGATTTGGTTAATTGATCATTTAATCAGAATCGTTTATGAGGAAGGAGAATTGCAGATAATTAGTGTTGACTCTGTATAACCTAGGGATGTTGTTCTTTCTCACAACGTTCTTGTTAAAGAACCACTATCCTTACTAGATGACAATCACAATGGCTTTATCTGCTCCTTCATTTTTATTCATAGCTTCTTAAAGATCTTGGGCTCAAGAAATACTTGAAGAGGTCAGGCATTTGATCTTTTCAAAGACTAGTTTTCTGAAATGACTTTAGAAATCCAATTATATCCAGTACTTCAGGACTAGGAACGAGTATTGTTAATTAAAAAAAAAGTGTGCGCGTGGGAATTCTCTTACTAACCTCAGAATTAAAAAAAAAAACAACAAAAATTGTAGGAACTGCAACCAGAGGTGAGGAAATTTTGCTTTAGGTGCGGACCAATTTACATGTCATATAACATGTCATCAAGTCACCTATGATTAATTGTTTATGTTTATTTTCCTGGGCCAGAAATAAGATAAGAATGTTTTGGTTCATTAAAAAAAAAACCACACAGAAAAAAGTAGGTGAAAAAGGTGAACAGGTAGCACAAGCAATCACAAATAGTACGGACTGGAATCTCACTTCAAGGATTTTCAAATGCTGAAGAGTAAAGCAAAGTGTAACCTCTAAATTTTATTTATCCCTTATTCAGTGTTAATTTGGCAACCTTTAGCCCAAGGATGCATGTTTTTTAAGCCTTCTAGGCAAAACAAAATGGAATAAAATAAAAAATAAACATAAAAACTACTGGAAAAATGGGAGAATAGGATTTTTTTTCTTTTGCAATTTCAAAAGTTATTATTTTCATTCTCTTTGCCTTGAGATAGAATGGGTGCAAAGATCCTGAGCCTAGAGCAACAGTGCATAATTTAGGTTGACTCAGAAACAAAAAGAGAGAAAAAAAGATGAACTCAAAATGCAATTTAATTTACACTAAAATATAAATTAATTTATTAAATAGCTAAGTTAATTAGCAACAATTTTAATCATTTTAAATCCAATCACATTTAATAATTTAGAAATATTTAATAATGTTCTCCTCCTGTCACATTAAAAATGGCAAAGTACTGCAACTGAAGCCATAACAACTCCTCAGAAGTCAAAAAGACTTCAGGTTATTTATTTCTGCCTTAAACCAAGCCTGACCCTTTTGAAATACCGTTTTAAAAAGGAATGTATATTTGCCCCCTTCTTACTGATTTTTTTCCTTTTGCTTAAATAAAGACCAAATTAAGAATTCTGTAAGTTTTCCAATTTTATGCAGTTTTATGTGTATTGCCAGATACTGTACATGTCTTTTCAGTGAAGGAACCGATACAAATTGAAGCAACGTTGGGAAATCAGATTGCCAAGTAAGATGCACCACAGATTCAGATGATGCCATCCATTCAAAAGGGAAGAGTAGATTTGTAGGCTGAATTTGTCTTCTTTGCATATTGCACAAAAAACAATTTTTATGTCAAGTTCATGCATGCGAAATGCACACTTTTTTGCATATATGTGTGATCACAGATTGTTCACCATAGAGCTCAGTGTCTTAAATTCAGAATTAGAAATTTACAAAAATATATATATGGTTGGGCTAGAAAATAGATGTACAAAATAGATATTTTATTGTTAGCAGGGTTCACATCTAGCTTTTCTTTTAGAAGTTCGGCATAAGGGGATTACTCTCAAATGTTCTTTTAGTCGTGTTCAAATAAACTAATTTTGTTTTAATTTGTTGTCCATTTTCACAAAATTATTCAAAGCTTTAACAAGCCTCTTTTGTAAATCCAATATAAATGAATTATCCAGGCCACTCTCTTGGTTTGTTAATTGTATTTCCATTTTAAACATGACAACATCAATTAGTTTCAGTGTTCAGTGTGACATCTTTTTCCAAGTCATTATTGTAGCCTGTCAATATTTAAATTCACTTTCAGATCAGTCTCAACTTAATCAAGTAAAATTGATCCTCTTTCATAACATTGTTTAAATGCAGTCCATCTGTACATCAGTCACTAAAAGTTAAGAATTAAGAAAAGTTAAATTCTGGCTTCATCATTCAAAAATATCTTTCAATATGTCCAGTGTTAAATTTTGCTTCATTTTGTATCTGTAAATTAAATGTGTTCTTCTCTTTTAATTTTAATGTTTAATTCCTTCTAATTTGTCTTAGTATCCAATTATTATGTACATATATTGTTAAAAAAATTAAGAAAAAAGCATTTTCATATGGAAAGCATTCTTATTTTTAATAGTTGAAAAGCAGTTAACAAGCATTTTCCAAAAGTGATGAAAAGGAACTATGAGAACCCAGTATCCGTTTAAAGGTCTGAAAGATGGTTGAGCAAGAAAGTTATTCTCATCTCCGTCATCTCCCAGAGCTCTAAATTTTGCAAAGACCAACGTTTTACAATCTCCTTGGGAGGAACAACTATCTGGAGCACTTGTGGATGATCTCAAGTCTGCTTTGCCTGGAGAAGAATTACAAAGAGCCACTGTTCTCACCAATTCTTCATTAGACATGTGGTTGTTGGCTCAATTTTTTGTGGAGTTATCTTCTGTTTGCCATTGTCTCCGAAAATTGGAGGTACCACCATTTCCAAGTATTTAATGCAACAAGAGACTTCATTTGTCTAACATTGAAAGTTAAGATAAGGCATTCATAACTAGCTGTAAAAGTGCTGTAAGTTTTGACATTTATATTGTGACATTTATTTGTGATATTTACTAAGCAGAACTCACAAATAAGGAGTGTGTCATAAGAATAGCAAGAACAACAATAACATATATCCTGATGAAGAATTGTTTGTGCAACATTGTCCCTATGAAAAAATCTAAAAAGTATTCATGGAGAGATAAAGAAGTTTATATATGATTCACTAAAGTGTTTTAGGAGTGTACCACTTGAATTGAGCCCCAAATTCCTATAACCCTTGTAACATGTAGGATAGGACACTTAGCATGAAATTAGAAGCCAGATCGACTGGCATCAGTTAAGTAAGGAGGCTGCAAGTGACTGTCCATTTTCAGTGGGCCATTAGAAATATAATAAAGAACATGACAATAGTCCAGTTTGCAATGATTTTTTTACCCCAAAACTGGAGAGGAGCAAGAGTGCCCAAAAAAGGCCAACCCTGAAACATTTTCCACTCTTCATTCCAGGATTTCATAGTTCCGCAACTAGGACAAAATTCTGCAAATGGCATTAGTTAGGAAAAGTGATATATTTAATGAACCTGCTAAATTCTGCCTTGCTAAATTTGGAATGAGGTTTGCATGTGTGAAATGGGGACAAGAGAAGGGAGGGACCACCCATGACACATGGTGCTCTAAGAACACACACATGAAGGATTGTAGCTTTGGTTCATACAGAGGTGCATGAAAACAGCTACCTGCATACCTCCATGTGTCATGATTGGCATATAGAGATTGTAGGACAAAAACTTTCAAGGAAATCAAAGTCACTTCTAAACACACTGCTAATGCATTTCTATTATTATTGCTTCTGCATTGGTTTGGACGAGGAAAACAATTGAAAGACTTTAAGCTCTGCAATAAAGGCTCATCAACTGAGTACAGTAGACTGGCTAACTTAATTCAATTCATGCATTGATTCACCCAGTCCTATATATAACTGAATAACTTCATAGTGAAAAATAATGCAGTCACCTCTTAGATAGGAAGGTCACATTCATGTAAAAGTGGCAATCCCTTTTTCACTTTCCAAACTTAGAACTGGTGTTTACCAAGTTTTACATCTTTCAACATAAGAGGAAGAAGAAGTTAAGGAGAACTGTGTATGTTTATCAATCACAAGATGTTTTTTTCCTCTGAAATTATTATTGATCAATCTGTAGCAAATAGCCTGAACATGTACAAGGAGAATGCAGAAAAGGTGCTCTCCTATTTTGGTTTCTCAGGAAACTGGGGAAAAGACAAGAAAGGTCATAAACCAGGTTTCCTAGGGGCCTCTGTAACTCTGACCCTTTTTATTGCCTCTTCTGAAGTAAGACTACACAGAAAACAGATGCTTCACTGCAATGTGCTGGAAAGTTGGAAGAGCAACTAACTTTCTTTCCCTCTTTTATTGCCAAAGGAATCTAAGCTTAGTGAAAATGAGCAATATCCATGTTAGGTCTCATAAACCCAGACAGATTTCATTCTTGAGGGACTGAGTGCAGAATAAGTAAACCCCACTTTTCTTTTCTTTTCTAATCTATAAAACAATTTCAGGGCAGAAAGCAGCAACAGGGAGCAAAACCAAACAACAATAATAACAACTAAAATCTGTATATCCAAAAAAAAAAAAAAAAAGGGAAAGAAAGACTTTTTGGGCTTCAGGAAAAGAAACTCATGGGTGATAATTAACCATACTTCACTTGAGTTCCATTCAGTGCCATTAATGTTCTTAATACACAGAACATGGTAGGGGAAACTGTGCATTTTGGCACATTGGTAATTCTGTAGGATTGAATGCAAGTATTGTAGAAAGGCATAAAGAAAATTATAATTACAAAGAAAAGATTTCTTATTTCATATTACGATGCACATTGGAGCATGCAGAGTTTGTGAATAAAAACTACAAACTAAAACCATTTAAAAGAGATGTCAGGAGATTTCAATCTCGCAAAACACTTTTAATATAGACTGACAATGAGAGACAGTGAACTCATCTAGTCATGTTTCTTGTCTGGTTTACTTGAGATGGTTGATGTCAATTTTTTAAGTCTCATAGTACAAATCTCTGACTGTCACTTTACTTGTCTGCTGAATTAGGATGGGTCTAATTCCTCTCCGTTAAGGCACTGGATCCCCCTCCCTCTCTTGTCTGATCATTCCCTAGGCAGCATCTCGATTCCTCATCCCTTGAGGTCATTTTCACATACCATTGCAATAAGATATATTCACCAACTTCTTTGTATTTCTTGTAGGGTTTCACCATGAACCGTAGTTTGGGGATCGAGGCACAGGCTCGTCTCACAGACATGTTGGAGATTACTGCCCAGAGCCTGGTGCACATGGAAGTAGCAGACCACTACCAAATCATCAAGGAGCTGGGCAAGGGGAAATATGGCCAGGTGGTCCTGGTGATGCACAGGCAAAGAGGTAAAGATTGCTTTGTATGGTCAAACAATCCTACTTTCTCATTAAATATTTTAAATTTATTTGTTTGTTTCCCATCTTCATTGTTTTTACAAGGTAGCAAAGATATCCATTACACATATTCCTCCTCCTATTTCCCCCACAACAAGAACCCTGTGAGGTGGGTTGGGCTGAGAGAAAGCAACAGGCCCAAAGTCACCCAAATGGCTTTCATGGCTAAAGTGGGACTAGAACTTACAGTCTCCTGCTTTCTACACTGATGCTTTAACCACTAGACCAAACTGGCTCTCTGTTTGGACTGAAGAGGTTTTTTTTGAATGCAGGACCTAGTAGGAACCAGGACATGAAGATGAATGGAGAAATCAAAAATAAAATATAATTCAATTAAATATATCTAATTCAATGATTTTATATTTACTTAAAATGTCTTCCTTCTGTCACTTGAAAAATTGAAATTTGATTGAAGTGAATGATAAGGGATATATCAAAAGCTATGGGGAGTATATGTAGTGCTGGAGTTTCAAATTAGGCCACCCTGCTTTATACTGATTTGACATACTGGTTAATAGTATTTTAGTACCCAGCTGAATAACAGCCAGGTGTTCAGTTTCAATGGAAAATAGTTTCCATTACAGTTGCTTTTGAGCAAAACAGATTGATTCATATAGCTAGTGACTCTATACCAGTGTTTTTAAACTTGGCAGCTTTTATGTGTGTGACTTTCAATTGTCAATTCCTCAGAGTTCTGCATGTTTCTGGCTATAATCTGAGCCCTTAACTGCACATATGAATGCGTGCACTATATATGTATGTTTCTATCTCTCTCTTTCTCTCTGTGTCTACCAAAATACAGAGAAGACAATATGCAAAGACAAATTCTAAAAAGTAATATGCACACAAACAACACATTAATGATTAAGTTAAAATACCAAAAGACAAATAAAACATCTCAAGAATTAACAAGCTAAATTAATATAAAACATGATCACTTATACATTTAGTAACAATGTAGTAAATTAGGTATTAAAATTATCTATGTTTGCAAAATATGAATCTTACACCAAAGGGAAACATCATTTTGATAAGTAAAAATAATAAAACCTTGTTGAAAATTGATCAGTCCTATATTTCCAGTCTTTGATATTTGGATTAATGATACTTTTCCAATATCTTGTGCAATTTGGTTAATAGACAATATCCTAGAGTGGCTTATGGTGATATACAAAATAATTTATTGTCAAAAGCCACAGGATCATTGTTTCAAATACAAAATCAACAAAGATTTCCTGACAAATACCCACTAATTATATGAGCTGTCACTTCTTTGAGCAAAGTTTTTAATTTAAAACTAACTAATGTTGCAATTGGCTACCATGGTCAAAGTAAATGTATCTCCCCTCCACTGTACAAATGTAAAGTGCATTCACTACCAAATTCAAGTCTCTCCCCCCCACCCCCACCACCAATACACATGAAGTACAGGGGTTTAAGGCACCCTGTTATTAAGCTGGTTATTAAGACCAGCTGCCTGCAATTACTGCAGGGTTCGAATCTCACCAAGGCTCAAGGTTGACTCAGCCTTCCATCCTTTCTAAGATAGGTAAATTGAGGACCCAGTTGTGGGGGCAATAAGCTGACTTTGTATAAATATACAAAAAGGATGAAGGCTATTGCTGAGCACATTGTAAGCCGCCCTGAGTCTTCGGAGAAGGGCGGCATATAAATCAAATTAAAAAAAAAAAAAGTCAGGGGTGAAATCTAAAAATTTTCCCTATCAGTTCTGTGGGCTTGGCTTAATTGGTGGCCATGGCTTTGTGGTCAGGACCGGGTGGCCATAGTCAATAATAATAAATAATAAAAATAATAAACAAAGTACACAAAACAATAAGAGGAACCAAAAACCAACTTTTACACTTTACACACACACAACACAACTCACACAATGTAAAAGCAGCTGCACTTCACCCAAAATGGCCCCTGAAACAAACAGGAACCTCACACATCCACAAAAAGCTCAAAAACCAACTTTTACACTTTACCGACACACAACACAACACAACTGACTCACACACAATTTAAAAGCATTTTGACCCAAAATGGCCCCTGCAACAAGCAGGAACCTCACACAGCTACAAAAAGCTCAAAAACCAACTTTCACATTATTTCCACACAAAATGCCACATACAGCTTTGTGAAATTTTGTGTGTTTGTGTAGTTAGAGTGAAATACTACAGAAATATACCAAATCTCAGAAAGCTGCACAAATATATTTTTTTTAAATTTGATTTATATGCCGCCCTTCTCCGGAGACTCAGGGCGGCTTACAATGCGTTAAGCAAGAGCCTTCATTCTTTTGTATATTTTTATACAAAGTCAGCTTATTGCCCCCACAAACTGGGTCCTCATTTCACCTACCTTAGAAAGGATGGAAGGCTGAGTCAACCTTGAGCCTTGGAGAGATTCCAACCAGCAGAAATTGCAGGCAGCTGTGTTAATAACAGGGTGCATTAAACCACTGTACTATCAAGGCTCTTATTTTATTGTATTATTTTATTTTATTTATATTTTTAGATAAAAGCAGCTAAATTTAAAACTTCCTTTATTTTAAATTGCTGTCTAAAAAAAAATAAAACTCCTAAAAAAAAACCTGTTAACTATTTTTTTAAAGTCTCTCTCCCCCCCCCATAAAAACTCCCAAATTGAAGGCACAAGGCAGGCAGGCAGACAGATTGAGTTGCTCACCAATTGGATTGATTGCAGGCAGGCAGATTGAGTTGCTAGCTGATGCAATGGATTGCAGCAGCCGAAGCAAGGCAGGAAAAGCGAGCAAGACTGAAAGAAGCAGCAAGCTACCAAGTGGGCAAGTGTGGACCGGGCGTTTGGGTAGGCATGGGGGTGGGCAGGGATTTTTGCTACCATTCTCCGAACTCCCCGCCATCATTGCTAACAGATCAGCCAATCTGGTCAGAACTGGGAGCATTTCACGCCTGCATGAAATGCTTAAAGTGCCCTTATAAGATAATATTCATAGTAAGCTGAATTGACCCCAAGTGGTGACAGGGAGAAGACTTAGTCAGTAACCTGTGGCTCAGTAAACCTATTTGTTTCTATTAACTGAGATAGTACAGCTGCCATAGTGATGTAGTAGAAAAAGACAGAGTCAGTTTGGTCTAGTGGTTAAGGCATCAAGCTAAAAAATGTGAGACTATGAGTTCTAGTCCTGCCTTAACCATGAAAGACAGCTGGGTAATTTTGTGCCAGTCATTCTCTCTCAGCCTAACCCACCTCATAGGGTTGTTGTGGGGAACAACCCTATGAGGGTTGTTCAACAACCCTATGTGTTGTAGGAAAAATAGGAGGAAGAAGGACAGGGATGTCAAACTGGTGGCCTGCGGGCCAGATGTGTCACACGCTGGCCATGCCCACCCCAGCTCCAAAAAGGGGGAAAATGTCACAAAACTTAATGTGATGGCAATATGATGCCACAAGTTTGACAGCTATGAGGTAGGGCAGTGATGGCTAACCTTTTTGCCATCGCGTGCCAGGACCGAGGGAGCACAGGGGGGGTGTTTGTCACGGGCATGCATGTGCACCATGTGACTCCCCTATGCTCCCCCCCCCACTCCTGGCACATGATGGCCTGGTGGGCCCGGTAGGCCCATTTTCCTCTCTCCCCAGGCTCCAGAGGCTTTCTAGGAGCCTTCCTAGAAAGCCTCTGGAGCCTGGGAAGATAGGAAAATGGGCCTCCCCCCCTGAGACCCTCTAGAGGCAGGAAACAGCCTGTTTCCCTACTTCTGATGGGTCCAGAAGGCCTGAAAATCAGCTGGCTGGCCCGCGCATTCGCGCCAGAGCTGAGCTCGCATGCCCACCAATATGGCTACGTGCGCCACCAGTGGCACGCGTGCCATAGGTTCACCATCACAGAGGTAGGGTGTTGCATGTTTGCTGCCTAGAGCTATTTGTAAAAATAATTAATATGGGATACAAATAAATAAATAGGTCACTCAGATACACATACACAGAGTTTTTGCTGTTGCTCATGGCCACTCAGTAAAATAACAAAGCTTTACTGATTGTCTGGTATATAATATATGATTGCCTATATGCATTCCAATAAAGTTATGTTCTATCTTCAATGATTTGGTTTCTTTAGATGAGCCAGGTTTTGGCTACAACAGCACATCTCTAACTACATATACAATATCTATTCTGTGAACAGAGTTTTATTCCAGCCCTTTTTCTCAATGCAAGAGTTCTTCAAAGATGTGAAGGGGAATTTCTCTTTCCTAGTCTCATGCTATTGCAGATATGGTTTAGCAGAAATTTAAATACTGACTCTACAGTGTTTTTTCCTGAACTGGAAAAAAATTGATTCTATAAGTTAGAATCTTTCAATTTGAATAGAAAAGAATTGAGAATAAAAATGGAATTATTGATTCAGGAAAATGTTTAATATAGTGTATAAAATCATATTTGCAAGGATTTGTACAGGATGCTATATTTCAGGTTCTTCAAAGACTGGGCCTGGAGTGCATTAGACAAGAATTCAACTGGATACCTGTTTCCACTTCATCACAGGGATTTTATATATATATATATATATATATGCACACAACAGTATGAATCCAGTGCGCCGCTTGCTGAAGCACTTGGACTCCCAGTACGGGATGGGATCCTTCAGGCACTCTCCCTCCTCTCTGTCAAAATGGGCAATTCTACTGTAAATTTAAATATATATAACATTAAACATTATGTTTAGCATAGTGATGAAAAAAGGAAGAAATAACAAAATTACAGAAAGAGGAAGGAAATTGTTAAGAAACAGGTTCTCTCTAAATGAGTGTGAAAACAAATCTGTTGTTCTTGAGTTATTCTTAGCATTTAGTGTTATTCTTAACATTTAGCTGCAAACATTTAATATATACTATTTTTTTCCAGCAGCCCCTACCTCCATGAAAATTGTAATCATATACAGTAGTGTCTTTTTAAAAATGATTATTGATTTGGAGCCAAAATATTTGGTTATGTTAGCTGATCCATAAATTAAACCACTATTGACCTGAACTTAACCAGAACAAATTCAGTCTCTTATAAACATTTTAAAACAATATAATTTTAGAATTATATCACCATATTTTGAATTCCTTAAAAATGAAAAATCTAGATTGCATTTGTCAATTTATCTATAATGGAAATGTATTTATTGATATAGGATGTACAGATACTCCTTGATTTACAACTCCTTGATTTACAACCATTCAAAGTTACAACAGACATTCCCTATGCATACTTCCAACCCGTTTTCAGAGTTATGACACCTACACAAACTCCAATGGTTGTGTGATTACATTTTGGGTGCTTGGCAATAGGCTTCCCTTTATGATTGTTTGCAGTGTCTCATGATCATGTGACTCTGATTTGTAATGTGTTTTTGCCAGTTTCTGGCAATTATTTCTGATTTCTGGCAAAAACACCCATTAGGGAAAATGAATTCACCATGAAATGACCATGTTTCCCCTTAACAGTCGTAACTTCAAACTGGTCATGTGATGGCTCAACTTATGACCGTAAGAACTTGTGACTATAATTCCAGGTTCAATTATGGTTGTAAGTTGAGGACTACCTGTCGCAATGACCCCAAATTTTGGTGATTTTGCATACAGAAAGTTCTGCTGGAATAGTTGCTTGAAATTGCACAATGATCAAAAGACAGAAAAGCCTTCTGATTATTGGAAAATGAGGATCTTGGTCTTATCCGTATTCCCTCCCAACTTCTCTCAGGGACCCCGATGGCTCTCAAGCTACTACCTAAATCTAGCACCAAGCTCCAGAATTTCTTATATGAATACTGTGTGGCACTCTCACTTTCTGCACATCCTGCCATCGTTGGTATGTTTGGCATTGCTATAGAGTCCAACCAGCATTATGGTTTTCTCTATGAAGCAGCCCTGCATCGAGACCTTATCTCCATTATCAAGCCCAAGGTAAGGCATATTTTTACATTTCAAGGTTTAAAAAATTAGTATTATTAATAGATTTTAGATTTATTGTATATTTTAACATCTGCAATCTGTTACTTTTAGATTTTAATAATAATAATGGTTTGGGCACTATTTAACAAAATGAAATTCAATGATGAAAAAAAGTAAGGTTCTATATTTAGGCAAGAAAAACCAAATGCACAGGTATAGTACAGGTGGCTCTATTGTAGTAATTGTGAGAGAGATCTTGAAGTCCTAGTGGACAGCCACTTAAATGCAAGCCAGCAGTATGCTGCAGTTGCCAGTCCTAGGCTGCATTAACAGAGGGATAGAATCAAGATCACAAGAAGTGTTAATACCACTTTATAATGCCTTGGTAAAGCCACTCTTGGAATATTGCATCCAGTTTTGGTGGACATGACATAAAAAAGATGTTGAGATTCTAGAAAGAGTGCAGAGAAGAGCAACCAAAATGATTAGGGGATTGGACACTAAAACATAAAGAGGGGGGGATCAACCTGGTCTCCAAAGCATCTAAAAGCAGGACAAGAAATGATGGATGGAAACTAATCAAGGAGAGAAGCAACCTAGAACAGTGATGGTGAACCTTTTCGGCACTGAGTGCCAAAAAGGGAGCATGCACACGGCACCAAGTACTGAAAAGGGAGCACTTTGCGCACGCTCATCAGGCCTGCGACCAGGATGACGAACTGCCCAGGGGGCATGCGCACTCCAGATAAGGAGTTCCGGTTTCCAGGGCACACATGCACTCGGGCCAGCAAGTCTTCCAGTTACTGCCGCCCATGAGCACATGACGATCAGCTGGCCGATGTGCATGCTCATGCTGGAAAATGGAAGACCAGTTCTTCTAGTTTCCAGCACTGCCGCACGCACAAAGGCCAGCTGATCATCATGTGTGCGTGCCAGAAACCCGGAAGAGGAACGGGCGATGGCGTGCATGCCAGGTGACATGGCTCCACATGCTACTTCGGGCACGTGTGACACAGGTTCGTCATCACGGACCTAGAACTAAGAATAAATTTCCTGACAGTTAGGACAATTAATCCGTGGAACAACTTTCCTCCACAAGTTGTGAATGCTCCAACACTGGAAGTTTTTAAAGAGAGATTGGATAACCATTTGTCTGAAATGGTAGAGGGCTTCCTACTTGAACAGGAAGTTGGATTAGAAAATCTCCAAGAACCCTTCCAACTCTGTTATTCTGTTCTGTTTCGTTTTAAGGTATGCATTTATTTATTCAATAAATTATTTACTAACTTATTACATTTTAAAAATAGTATATAAAGTTTAATTTTTCAAAATCAATTAGAAACAAATCAACAAATCAACACAGAAGATGTTATAAACTATGAGTCAAACACAAAGTACGAGGTGAGGTATTTTGAACTTCAAAACTTGAAATTTTGAACTTTGATCATAATAGATTATAAATAATCATAATTCCAATTTCAAAAGAATTTTGAAAGCTTTTTTTTCAATAGAATCATGTGACGCTGAAAAAAAATAAGAATAAGTCCAGTTTTGATTTTAATTGTGATTGGATGGGTTGTGTGTTGAAGAACAGAAAAAGGCTTGAGTTTTAAATGCTATAGACCAGTGTTTAGCAACTTTAAGGTGTGTGGACTGCAACTCCCAAAATTCTGACTGGCTGGGGAATTCTGAGAGTTGAGGTCCACACACTTTAAAGTTGCCAAAGTTGAGAAACACTGTCATAGGCCATTTAGAAGAACTAATGGATTAAAAAGTGTTTTTCTCTAATCCATCTAGGCGGGCATTCCTGAGAAGGCAGCCAAGCTCTGTGCCAAGCAACTAGTAAGTGCATTGGACTTTATACACAGCCGGGGCCTGGTATATCGAGATGTTAAACCGGAGAATATCCTGCTTTTCGACCGTCATTGCCACTGCATCAAACTGACAGATTTTGGATTGACCCGACCCCAGGGCACTCTGCTGCAGCTTGTGACTGGGGTCATCCCTTATACTGCACCTGAGCTAAGCCGTGGCACTGCTGGCACCCCAGGCCTACCCATTGATGCCAGCCTTGATGCCTGGGCTCTTGGGGTATTGATCTTCTGCCTGCTCACTGGCTACTTTCCTTGGGAAAAGACTCTACCCGAGGATTCCTTTTTTGACGACTTTGTGATATGGCAAGAATCAGGTTCAGATGAAGATCTGCCATTTCACTGGCGTCCTCTGTCTCAAGATTGCATTGCTATGTTACAAAATCTTTTAGCCCTGGAGCCTACCAAGCGGGGCCCCATCCGCCAAGTACTCAGCTACCTGGATCGGCCGTGGCGAGCAGACTTGGCTGCTAAAAATGTCATCTGAGCTGAAATTTATCTGACTGGCGTGGGGGTGGAGGGAGGCGAAAGATCCCCCCATTATTATGTATTTACAAAAAAAAAAAAAAGGTAAAGAAATTCTATGCATTGGGTAATTTACAACAGTCCTCAATGCAGTGATGGGATTCAGCTGGTTTGCATTGGTTCAGGTGAACCAGTTGTTAAATTACCCATCTCCCAGTATCAAAGTGGATCCTGGGCACTGCGCTGCAATGGAGAAATGGGCAATAGAGCAGCCTGTGCAAGGGAAGGAGAAGGCCGCTTTCCCTCCTCCTTCCCTCATGCCTCAAGCTATTGCTTAAAAGCATTGTAAGCCGCCCTGAGTCTCCGGGGAAGGGCGGCATATAAATCAAACTAATAAATTAATAAAATAATAAATAAATGCCAGCTGCTCTATTGCAGCGCAGCACCCAGAAACCACTTTGATGGGGGGGGGGAGGTAATTTAACAACTGGTTCGCCCAGGGTCAGGTTGGCCATTGTGGGAAACTTGTCCTGCATGTGTGGTGGAGCTGGAGGATGGAGATGGGCCACGCCTCCCACAACAGCCAACCTGACTCTGGGCAAACTGGTTGTTAAATTATTTGAATTCCACCACTGCCTCAAGGTATACCTTTTGAATGGTTTGATTTTATTGGGAGAGTCTAAATCAATGCATTTGATCATGTTTAAGACGATTATAAAACATAAAGGTAAATATTTTTGTGTTAATAAGTTGGAATTTTAAGTATGAAAATATATCATTTTCATTTAACAAACTGTTACTTTAGACCTTGCTCCTAATAATATATAGTGATTCTAATCATATGTACTAATAAGCCAGAATGCAGTTTATCTGGTTTCAATTTAGGCTGACATTGTGTTATTGTGGTTTGTGAAACATTGTTTATAGTTTAGTCAAGAAGCCATGCTTAAAAACCCATGGCTTAGCACAATATGTGAACCTAGTCAACTACTGGTTTCATACATCGCAGTCATACTTATTTGACTTTCTGGCTTAATTTGCTATGGATCCAATCACAGTGTTTTTTTTTAACAGCAGAGATGTATAAGAAGACCCTCTCTAGCACAATTACCAAAATGTGTATGGCAAAGTTTCAGGCCAGGAGTGACAAAAAGTGAAAATTGGTAGTATAAACACTAACATAGATTATAGAGGTAAAAAGATTCTCAGGCAGCCTCCTATAAATAAATATCAGGAATACCCACCTCTGATTATTGTAGTTCTAATTCAATAGTACTCTGACTTTTAAACAAACAAAACAAAACAAAACAAAACAACAAAACAAAACAAAACAAAACAATAAAACAAACAAAACAAAACAAAACAAAACAAAACAACATATTTTAAAAGTCAGGATGCCATTGAATTAGAACTATATATATATTATGTTATCCTATTTATTATTTTTATAAATAACTCAGGGCAACTAAGATATCTAATACTTTTTTTCTTCCTATTTTCCCCAAAACAACAACCCTGGGAGGTAAATTGGACTAAGGGCGTGATTGTCCAAAGACATGCAGCCAGCTGTCATGCCTAAGGTGGAACTAGAGCTCACAGTCTCCTGATTTTAACTTTGTGCTATAACTGCTAGACAAAGGTTTCTCAATCTTGGCAAATTTAAGGGGGATGGACTTCCATTCCCAGAGTTCAGTTCAAGTATCTTACAGTTGCCATGGTTGTGAAACACACTAGTCCAACTCAGGCATGGATTCTACTTACCTTTATTACTCTTCTGCGCATGTGCAGATGGTCCATTATGACGTTTGGGTGGGCGGGCAGAGCCTCCCGCTGTTCTACTACCGGTTCGCAAGAATCGGACAGAACCAGGAGCAATCCACCACTGGTCCAACTGAATCTGTTTTTAATTTTTCTTTCTATCTTTTAAATATTTTTTTTTCAAATGGTATTTAGAGAGGTAGTTATATGAATTGACTAGCTAACTAATATAATAATTGTGGTCTCACTCATTTTACTTAATTGCCCTGTTTACTGGATCCTAGCATGTAAATGGAAATTATGGCGCAGATAAGTCTAGTCACAATGATTTAGCACGATGTGTTGAATATACTTGACTTCAAAATTTAATCTTGAATAGGCTTGTCTACCTAAACCCAGTCACTTTGGGTTTACCAGCCATATTGACACAACAGGAGAGAACCCATTTGTGAAATTATTTGTGTGTGTGTTTGTTTTTCTCAAACAAACCATGCTTTTCCTAGATTGACACTTTTGGATTAGATAATCTTAGACCAAAATGGTTACGAATTATAATGCTGTGGCCCAATATTTCTAGAGATTGAGAATGGTTGCATTATAGATAATCTAGAGATGTTGATAAATGTTTTTAGTAATGTCATTTTTTTTGCAGTTCGGTTATACATATATCATGACAGTTAGGGACAGAGATAAATTATTTTTCTATTTTAATTGTGTTTCTGAACTCTAAGGCATTTTCAGATCTTATCTGTTCTCACAGTTACAGAGAAATCTTTCTACAGGTTCTTCCATTGTGCCTGCTATCTTTCCTATCTGCATTATGAAAGTATAATACCATCCATCCATCCATCCATCCATCCATCCATCCATCCATCCATGTTTATTGAACAAATATGTTTATATGGCTGTCCAACTCTCACAGATGATTCCAGGCAGCTTGCAACATAAAATCATAATATGAAAACCATGACCCATTGACCCACCCATTCCCAATAGCAGCAGCAACACAATAAGATCAACCTCTTGACTGGGTGGGTTCATTTCAATTCAGGGCCACCAGGCCTGCTGACAAAATCATGTATTTAGGGCCTTTTTGAAAAACAACAAGTAGGAACTAATTGTTATCTCTGGGGTATTGATGATCCATGGAGGAGTCACTAGCAAGAAGGCCCTTTATTGTGGTCTCACTAGGTGTCTATATCTAATAGATGGGACCTGCAACATGCCTTGCCTTACCATCCTGATGGGCCAGATGGATATAATGGGGGAGACCCTGTCCTTCAAATGATGTTTTTTCAATACACATTTTCCACTTACTTTTATTGTTACTCTTTTTGCTTTGCAACAAATTCCTCCAAAAGATTAATTAAATAATTACATCACAATGAAACACTAATTAGGCATATTTTCCAGGATTCAAGGCTTGGCTTGAGGATTCAGCACCCCTAGCAGGCAAGAACCAAATTCTTGACATCCAGGAACTAAAATCCAGGAAGCAATGTATTTTCTGCTGGGTTTGGAGTGTTTTCTACTTTAATCCGTTGCCACCAAATAGAGTGAATTATTGCCTCTGATGAAAGTTATCTTTACCATACTGCTTGTTCTTCCAAGCATTCTGAATCATTTCTACCTCAATCTCCAGCAATACCCCCAAATGTTGGGGGTGGGGTAGCTTGTACCACATCCAAACCTAAAGAAGAAGAACCTAAAACTGTTTCCAAGTACAAGATTTATTAATGTAAACCCCACTAGTTTTCTTGACAATGATACATAAATGGTTTACCAAATATGTCTTCTAGAGTATTTATTTCAATCTTCTTATCAGATACACAACCTTGAGATTTCCTAATGATGTCTGTTCAAGTCCAAATAATGTCTTTTGAAGTCAGTCAGTGTCAATGAGAGGCTGCCACGTAACTTTGCATCCAGTGTATAGTTCCTTAATGGGAAATGAGGACAGAGTCGTTTAGAAACAAAATTGATTGCTGTTTCCCCCACGAACACTAAAAAAGGTTATTCCTGTCTCCAGTTATACAAGCAACTGGAGACAGGGTAATACTCTACTGTATTATCCCAAAGGTATTGTCCTAAATTGAAAAAGCACCTTTGGGACAACCATGACCTGGATGACTGAGAAACTCCATAAGCACACTACTGTATTACCCTCTACTGTATTCTACTTTTAAGGGTTTTTGTTGTTGTTGTTGTTGTTAAGCTTTCACTGTAACTTCCTATCTACTTGATTCTCAGCTAATCCTTCAGTTCAGGTTTCTCAGGCTGTCCGATAAGAAATCAATGAGATTCTATGTAGAGCAGCAACCTCCAAACTTTTTTGGGCACCAGGGACTGGTTCTGTGGAGAAAGGTTTTTGCATAGACAGGACAGGATGTGGTTTTGGGTGCTAACTGCATACTGCGGATGGGGCTTCACTTGTTTGCATGGAACGGTTGCTGGCATGCTGTGGACCAATGTTGGTCCATGGACCAGGGGTGTGGATCCCTGATGTAGAGGGTAAGGAAGATGATCTTTATGAAACTCTGAAAGAAGCATTATCTTGGCAAAGGGGGCTTAAATAAGATAACACTTGGAAGTTGCTCAGACACCTTTCTGATTCAACAATCTATAAGAGGACAAATATAGCACAATCCAACTTGCATGATTCTGCTACAATAGCCAATATTAATAGAAGCAAATTTAGCCTTCCTGTGGAGATGATTTCCTCATCTGATCCTTCTAGTATGGCTGACAGGCAGTGATTAGGGACTAGAGGGAAACCAAGTGCCTGCAAAAAGCAACTAAAAGAGAAAAACAAAGGGGGGAAAAAAGTGCTGCCTTTTGAAAAAAGCACTTTTGAAGCAACTATGAACTGGATGACTTGAGAAGCTCCACAGACTGCAGCACGCAAAAAATGTACAAAAAGAATTGGGCAAATTTCAGCCCGCAACCTCAGCTTCACCATGCTAAGTACACAACTAGAAATCTTGAAAGTCTAGGTTAGAGATAGTCTCAAAGGTCCAAGCTCCAGACCTAAACCAACATTAAGACGCCACTCGCTTGGAGGCTAACTGGATTTATTTAGCCGGACTCTGGCACACAATGAGTTCTAACAGCAAAATGCAGCAAAGATGTAAAGTCAGCGCTGGAAGCATCCGCATCCCAGCACGTTTAATCTGGGCAAACCACACCCTTCCACCAGTGCTGGCCTCGCCCCATTGTCAGCTGTGCATCAGCATGCCTGATTGGATGTTGCCTGGTCGTTCCATGGCCCAGAACAGCTGATCATCAGGCAGGAACATCTGATCATCAGCCTGTCGCTGGAGCTCTGAATCCAGACAGGCTGCTTGCCTTGCATTGCCCCACCTCCCACTGCACAGCTGATCTGCGGGTCATCTTCTGCCGACCAGCTGGTCTTCGGCATTCGTTGGCACACCACTGCAGCCTCCGTTCATTGGCACACTGCTGTAGCCTCCTACACTCCCATCACCAGTGCTCTGTCCCTCCCCCGGTATGGCAAACTCCGGGGCTTCAGGGTTTGACAGACTGCTCTCTTCTACCAGGGCTGCACCTGGAAGACAGGAAGCAGATTCAGTGAGTACATATGGCAACAGATCATCACACCCAACCTCCCAAATCCCCCCTCCCTGGTTTGTGGGGATGTTCCTTAATTCCTTTTAATCAGTCGGCCTGCCTGTATATCCACACTCGCCACCCAAGAGGCCTCCATGAGGAGATACTGTTTCCATCAAACCAGGTATTGCAGCTGACCCCTATGTACTCAGGAATCCAATACCTGGTCGATCTTGTAATGGGTCTCCCCCACCCACCTCCACAGGGCCTAGTAATGGTAACGTTGGTGGTTGAATCGAGGCTTTTCTTATAGGCTTCAGCAGACTGCCATGAAACACTGGGTGTACTTTACCCAACAATCAAGGTAGCTTTAGCTCCACTGTTACAGGATTAAATACCCACACAATGGGGAATGGGCCCAGGAACTTCGGCCCAGTTTCTGACAGAGGACCCTTAATTCTAAGTACTTGGTCAATAGGTACACCCTCTCCCCCATTTGGAACAGCTTCTGTGGAACCCGTTTTCTATCAGCCTGTACTTTTTGGGTTTCTGAGGCTTTCTGCAAGGCCGTTTTCATGGCTCCCCACACTCCTGCAAGGTATCTATCCATTGCTGTGGGCCAACAGGAGTAGGAGCTTCTCAAGGATATTCTGGTATGGGAACAAAGTCTATTCCATGCACCACCTGGAAGGGGGTAAACCTCCTGCTGTTGTGGATAGGGTTGTTGTATGCCACCTCCGCAAATGGCAGCAGCTCTGCCCAGTTGGATTGTTGGTGACACCTAAGGTATCATTCCACTATGGTGTTGGTCCTCTCTGTTGCCCTGTTAGTACTCGGGTGGACTGTCAAGCTTAAACCCTGGGAAGAACCTATCATCTGGACGAATTCCCACCAGAACTTGGCTGTGAATTGGATCCCCCAATCCCAAATGTTCCTCTGCGGCATGCCGTGGAGGCAATAGATGTCACAAGAACAGTTTAGCTTCCATGCTGATGGCAAACCGGGGCGAAGTACAAAATGGGCCTGTTTTGAAAATAGATCGATGACCATCCATATGACAGTCTGGCCATTGCTCTCTGGCAGCTCTACAATGAAGTCCATGGCTATCTCCTCCCACGGCCAGGTTGGGATGGCCACGGACTGTAAGAGGCCCGGTGGCTTCCCTGTTTAGGGTTTTGCAGTCGCACAGACTGGGCAGCTTTTGACATAGTGTCCTATTTCATGTTGCATCCTGGGCCACCAGAATTGCCTTTTGACTAAATGCAGGGCTTTAGGAACCCAAAGTGTCCTGCCTGTTTCACATCATGGCAGCTCCACAGTACCTGTGGCCTCAGGGCATGTGGCACGTACAATTTACTGCCTTTCCACACCAACCCATCCCATCGGATAAGCAATATCCAGTATTCCAGGAACCAAGGGTCGGTTAGTAGTTTGGTCTGTGAGCGATTGATCAATTCATCTGGGCTTACAACTGGCCACTGGGCTGAAATCCACACGGCTTGTTGCAGTGAAAGGGGAATGATGGTGTGCACCACTTCCTCCTGGCGACTGTTGTATTGCGGCATCCTGGACATGTCTGCCAGGAAGTTTCTTCCCCCAGGGCTGTACTTCAAAGTAAAATGAAAGTGTTGGAAGTACTGCACCCGCCGCACCTGCTTGGATGACAAATGTGGAGCCTGGAGTGCCTTGAGGTTTTTATAGTCCATCCACACCTTGAATAGCACTTTATTTCCCTCCAGGAGGTGACACCATGTCATGAGGGCCCACCGGATAACGAAAGCGTCTTTCTCCCAGATGGCCCACCACCGTTCATTGGCATGCTGCTGCACTCTCTGGGTCTCCTACACCTATCCCAGTGCTCTGTCCCTCCCCTGGTATGGCAAACCCCAGGGCTTTAGAATTTGACAGATAGATTGTTATGGAGAAAATCTATTCTTTGTGGTCACCATGCATTGAAAAGGACTTGACAACACATAATCAATCCATTGACAAACCAATCAGATTGTATCCCCAGCAAAAATTGTATTCAGGAACGGCTTTTAAAACTGGAACAGCTCGATAACACCAAGCTACCTTTGCTTTGGACCAAGGATTAGATAAAGGCAGTATCACAAGGAAAGGTCATAAAAAAGATTTGCTAGGGCATGTTTGTGCTGGTTAGGAAGGAAAAAACAAAGTCATGACCCTTGGCTCTGCAAAGAAGCATTGCCTTGATCAGGAAAGGATCCATTTGTCACACTTCCTGATATTTGCATTTCCCCCAGGGAGAATGATACAGAACAGCCTGTTGATATCCATTCACCAAAGAAGGAGAGAGGGAATGGAAAATGCTCTGAGAAAGATGTCAAGGGTCTGGAAAGGGATCTTGTCACCCTTGTCATTCTTCCATTGTAGCAGCTGCTGGAGCTGCAAAGCAGAGAAAAGGTGTTTGTAAATATGCTGGCCTGTTCGCAGCCATGCTGCCTGCACAGTGGGAAGGCTACTGGCCTTATGCCTGGATCCGTGAAAGGGCAACACTTCGGCTAATGCAGCAGGGTGGATCTTGTAACATCCCCAGAGAGGCATCAAGTGGCTGCTAAGGGGGAGGGAAGGTCCTGGAATGTGTTCCTCTTGAGGATGGAATAAAGAAATAATAAGGGTGAAGTATCAAGAAAGTAGTATATAGAAATTGCCTTCTTTTTAAAATTAGTTTATCCTTATTATACATGGTCATACAGTTCTCTAAGTATGCTGCAAAATTAAAATAAAAAGTATTAGAATCCTAATATCCAGGATTCTATACAGTCTACACTCAGCCTTAGCAACTTTAAGGTGCAGAATAATAATTTTAATAAGGTGGTTTAATAAGATGATTCTTTAAGCATCACTGTCTGGGGAATTGAAATTCACATATTTTAAAGTTGTCAAGATTGAGAAAATAGTGATCTGTGCATATCTCAGCAAAAAAATATAGATACATACAATAGGAAGATGAAATACCAACAGGAATCTGCACATCCAACTGAGAGAGAAATCTGTTCCAGCTTCCTTCCCTAAGTTCCTACATTCCTGATCCAAAAATGTAAAGTTGTTTCCTTCAGTACTATTATGACAATTTGATTCTGGTTTGAGTAGCATCTGTGTGTAGAATCTCAAGGAGACTGACCATTTCCTATGGACACGTAGTGATATTTTGCACAGTATCTGCATTGTCATTTTTCCATTAAGTCACAATTTTTAGTTCAAATACAGTTGCAAAATATGTGTTCCGGAATGACCCATAACTGATCGAGAAACCTAAAACAAATGCAGCTATTTCAGTCTCTTTTTCATACATTTCACCTTACAAGAGGAATAAAAGCATTTAAAATACAAAGCAGAGAGGTAAAATCTTTTTTGAACAGAGATTCACACTTGTAAACTTTACGGACACATTCAGGCAATTTTCTTAACAATGATGTTGTTGGAAGTTATTTACCACTGGCCAGATATTTTTTTTAATTTTTAAATCCTTTCAACAGTTTTGAATTTACCTAGTGATGTCCCATACAATCTCTATCCCTATCACACTGATTCCATACACACTTCAAACAGCACATGGAAATTTATCTTCATCTATGGGCACAATGCTTCTTTTTCATTACTGAGATAAATCTTGATGGTCCCTAATGACACCTGCACAAGCTGTTATTAAAGTCATAACATTTTTCTAGTGAGAAAACTAATGACTTCCTTAATGTCACATAGTTTAAGGAAACAAAAATTATCAGATGACATTCAGCTCCCCCCCCACCCACTATGTTGGGCTACTAAAGCAAAGTCCATTGATGTCACAGGCAGTATTTGATACAACCACCTTATACCCTGCATAATGTTAAGTGCACAGTTGGAAACCTGTCTGGATTTCTCTTCGATGTTACCTAATGTGCTGCTTATTTTGATCCAAGATGATGACACAGTAAAAATTGATACGTATCTCATAAACAGTCATAGATATTTTTTTCAAAGTTTTCCCACTTCATTTAATAATCATAAAACATAAAAACTGAAAAAGAAATGTTTGATTTTAACCTACAAAATTAGTGGGATCTTTTTACTTTTCTGAGTCGTTCTACTGATAATTGTTACCATTTACTTTTGAAGATTACAGCTGACTGTATTTCAAGAAATCATACTTAAATGAATTGTACTTTATTCTAGTTGAAAATGGGATGGCCAAAATGCACAAGAATCAATAATAAAGTACCCAGATAACTGGTCATTAAGCAAATCATGTGACCACAATGGTGGTATGATGGTTGCAGTCAGGGGTGGGTTTTAAATTTTTGTACTACCGGTTCTGTGGGCGTGGCTTATTTTGAGGGCATGGCTTGTGGGGAGTAATGTGACTGGGTTGGCATGGCCAACTTTTTTTTTTAACTTTTAAAAGCATTTTTTCTACAACCTTAAGAGGTTGCAGGAAAAAATGCTTTTAGAAGCTTCTGACAATCAGGCAAGTCAGCTGGGATCACCAGAGGCTTTTAAAGGCATTTTTTCCCTCTACAACCTCTTCAAAGAGGTTGTAGAAAAAATGCTTTTAAAAGCCTCTGAGATCCCAGCTGAGCCGCATGATCATCAGAGGCTTTTTTAACTTTTAAAAGCATTTTTTCAGCTGAAGAGGTTGTAGAAAAAATGCTTTTAAAACTAAAAAAAAGAGCCTCTGATGAGGTGGGCGGGGTAAGCGAGCAGCGACCGGGCCAGGGACCGGTTCGGGGGCGTCGCCAGCCAATGTTATTATCAGTTCTCCGAACTACTAAAAATTTTTACTACTGGTTCTTGCGAACCGATGCAAACCGGGAGCAACCCACCACTGGTTGCAATTTCAAAGACAGGTCATAATGGTCCTAAATTGAGGACCACCTTTATATCCATGGGTTTTTTTGGGGGGGAGGACAAGTGAATGTTTTTCAGGGATGCTTTTTAACCAGATCTAGAATTCCCTTGTCTTTTCCCACCCTAATACTAACCAGGTTCAACCGTTTAACTTTTTCAATATCATTCAGTTGACCAGGTGGTCAACTAAAATTAGGGAAGGTTGCCAAATTAAACTTGTATGAAAAAAACTGCACACATTTCTGCAGAAAAGCTAAGATTGCAGGTACAACAGACCAAAATTGTTCCATTTTTAAAAAAGGTACAAATGCACATAACAAGGAGTGGGGTACCTATCATATGTTGACAGCTGCAGTCCTGACTTTTCTTGATCCCTCTTCTGCATAACTTAATAGGATGAGAAATACATTGTTTTGCATTTGGTCATCCTAGCTGAATTCCTGATTGGTCCCAATGTAAGCCTCTAGAAATATTTAAAGACGTACTGAAGACTTCTCAAAATTAATGACCTTGTTCTCCAGGCCCTTAGAAAACTAGTTTTTGGAGTTTGATAAGAAGCAATAGATAGTCCAACCTTGGTTGATGCATTGTACAAAACAATAAGCAATGGCTTATTTTAAATCAGATTTGTCAATAATAATGCTAAGCCTTTAACTTTGGTTTACTAACTACAGTGGCTTGGTTTACAGAGCTGTAAGTCATAATTTGATGTGTTTGGTTTTGACAATGTCAGTCTAAGCTTTAATGGTTTACAAGTCATAATTTATGGCTTAATGTTACGTAAGACACTCACCTACTACAGAGATAATATTGGTCTGCTGTTTAAGGCTATTTTAGTAGTGTTATGTGAATATAAGCCTAGGGCTTTGAGCACAGAATAGCTGGATTTGTGTAAGATGTTTAACTAAATAAAATGGTATTTGTGCTTTTCATGATTCAAAGTAAGAGCTCAATCTTTCTTTTAATGTATTATTAGAATCTGCCTATCATCTTAATTTATATTATACTAATTATATATTTGGCATGGAATATTTTGTAATCAAAAGAATTGTGCTTTCTTAACCAGCATGAACTCAGCTCATAAGTAGAAAACCTTGTTTTGTGGTTTTCTGGTTGAACATATTCTATCATTAGGTAAAAATTCTAACTCAAAGACCAAAATCCCCACAGAGATTCCCAAACTCATTCTCCAAGGTTTGAAGATTGGTGATTTGCAGAAATCTTTGAGCCCATATCCCGCAATTCTTACTGCCATACAAATCTTGTTGAATACAAACTTTAACGTCAGGAATAAGATTTGTTATTTGGCACTGCTAGTCTTGCCAGGAAATGCATTAGCAACCAGAGCTTGCTTGCATGCTCTCTCTGTACATAGTTAACATTATTTCCATGAATGCAATAGATATGATTGGGGAAGCGGACCACTCCTCATTCATTTATCCATGCTTCTCACTAACAAGGACAATCAGGACCCTATCTCATCTCCCAAATGTCACTGAAACTCTTGGATGTCTGAATGTTACTGGCTTGCTGCAACTAATATTTGAATTATACACTGAAATTGATAAGAAAACTGAGAAAAATTCCTTAATACGAATGTAGAAAATCTGGAATCCTCTAGAAGTTATTCTGTTGTGATTCCTTACAGTTCATTCTGTTGATTGGACTGGCTGCAGCTGTTGGATGTATAACAATATGCCTGTGGAACACAAACTTCATATCTTTGTCATATTATTTCTTCTCCATTTATTATCTCTCCTTCAGAAGTTTCAAAAACCTAAATAGTATGCTCTAGCTTGATTTTTAGACAAAAAAAAAGAGAGAAAGAGAGAGAGAAAACCAGATATAGTTTATTATCTATGTTATATTGATTTTTAATTTCTGAGCAAAAAAAAAACCAATTATAGTTAAGCAAAACAAGCTCAATATTTTTCCTTTGTAATAATATGGTAATAGTTCCACATTTTTAAATTGCAAGAATGAACGGTTAAGTTTTTCTTGAATGCATTGGAACAGAAAAGGGAGATTGTGCTGATTTTCTTCACAATGTGAATTAGTGTCTTCCACCAATTTCTGATCACACAAAAAAGATGGCCTAAAAACCCAATAAATCTCTAGAAGGCAGTCTGAAAAAAAAAATCCAATTCACAGTTGCATGTAATGGTTGTTGAAATTTTTGTAGCCCAGGTAGGGTAAACTTGACTTACATAAGGTTCATGGGGTGAATTTTCAAAAGAATATATGCTTAACTCAGCTAAATTATTTTAGAACTCGTAGAACAAGGATGATTTGGGACAAGGGGGACTGAAAACCATATGCAGATAGTTCTTGACTAATGATTATCCATTTAACAACCATTCAAATGTATGACAGCACTGTCATAAGCACTGAAAGAAGTGACTTATGAATAGTCTTTGCACTTAGAATCCATGTAGTATCCCTTCAGTCATGCGATCAAAATTTGGGCATAACAACCAGTATTTATTTATGACAATTGTAGTATCCCAGTGTCATGAGATCACCATTTGTGACATAAAGAGGTCATGATGGAGGGAGGAACACTTGTGAGATTCAGATGTGAAATTCTTATCTTGGTTCAGATTAAGACGCTTGCATATTGGACAACGTTCACACCCTTCACACTAAATCAGGACCTTTTACCATAATATGTTGAACCAGTCTGATTTTACATATAACCACAACTTATAATCAGCACATCACACCAGAGAAATCTATTGGGCAATTAAAAATGTCAAAACTTTGGTTGGAAACACAAATTAGCCTATCCTTTTTGTGTTGACATAATGAGTATACACAAAGGAGCAGGGCTTCAATTACATTTTTGAAACTGCAAATTTACTTTTTTAACCTCCCCTTCTGATACAACTGTATTTTACTCCAAATTAAGCCAAAATCTAACATAACTTTCCAACATGTAGAACAATGTTTTGACTAAGCCATAATGGCATATTATCTGTAAAGAAGCAATTTGTTTACAATCTTGGATTTTTTTTATGTTATATATTGAATAGATGGGCATAGGAACCAATCAGGGGCCCGTAGCTAGAGCAGGAAAATTAAGTGCGTGTCAGTGGCTGAAGCCACTGACAGCTCCCATTTAAAAAGAGCTGCTGCAGCTCGCATCACAATTGCTGTTACTGGAGCTGAATAAACCTGTTGAACTTTGCCGGACATGTCCTGTATCCTTTGTCTGAACCCAGAATTCAACACTGGCAACGAAGGTGGGATATTCAGAAGGACAATAGGCACTATGCTGAACAGACATTCCATGTGGCAATTGGTGGCCATCGAACTCAACAACCAGCCAGCACAAGATGTCTTCGATAATTCCACCTGCTCCATTCAACTCCGCAGGAGAAGACTGGGATTCCTACATGGAACGTTTCCATTTGTTCCTGGAATCCAACGACCTCTTGAGTCTTTCCAAACAAAGGAAAAGAGCACTACTCCTCACACACTACGGAGCTGCCATTTTTAAAATGGCAAAAGCCCTAGCCTCACCAGCAGAATTGAGAACCATGACCTGGCCGGCACTACAAAGAATTCTGAGGGCACACTACGCTCCCCAAGCATCATCCCTCGTGAGACGGCACAAATTCTACCAGAGAGACCAATGGGACGGAGAATCCATCAGCGAGTTCATTGCAACCCTGCACGAAATAGCCACCATCTGCGAGTTCTCCAACTTGGACAAAGTGATGAGAGACCGGTTGGTATTGGGACTGCGGGACCTCAACTTACAAAACCGATTGCTTGTGAAGAATAACCTTGCAAGGAGCCATGGAAGAAGCGACGGTGACAGAAGCATCACAAAAGTCTGCAGCCGCGATGAAAAAAATGAATAAATTACTGCAAGCAAAGGAAGACACCACCGTCCACTATGAGGACGCTGAGACCGAATCAGAGGACAGAGATGAGGATAAAGTACATCATCTCCATTTAGAATGGAAGGGGAGAACCCAAGAAAAAAGGACTTCTGGTGTGTTGGATGCGAGGGAAACCATTCCAGGACTGAGTGCAGATTCCGAGATGCCATCTGCCAGTGCTGTGACTGAAAAGGACACATCGCAAGAGCCTACAGAGCATCCCAACCAGTTTCCTGCAGATCCAGACAATCCAGCCCTCCTCAACACTCCAAGAATTTCCAAACAATCAGCAGGAGACAACCATTTGGAAGAAACCGCCGAAATGAGGGTAACCGTTCAGGAAGAGGGGAGACACACTAGACCATAATAGTTGGCTACTCGAGGGTGGGAAAAGCAAAGAAGATGGCAGCGACTGTTTCCATTGAAGGGAGAACCATGCAAGATGGAGGTCGACTCAAGATCCTACCTGTCCATGGTCTCCTGGACAGCCATCAAACTACTAGTACCCAGAATCACAGCCCGCACACTTAAACCACAGAAACTGACACTAAAGAACTATCAAGGAAACCAAATTCCAGTAATGGGAATCGGTTATTTCAATGTAGCTTTTAAAGACTTCAAAGGACAATTACTTCTAACCATAGTAGCCGGGCCAGAGCTGGCCTACTGGGGCTAGAATGGTTCGAACCTCTGGGCCTGACAGTGACGGGGATCAACCAAGTTGAAGACAACAACTGGGAAGAGGAACTCCTAAGGGATTTCACAGACATTTTCGACGAGAAACTAGGCAAATAAACGGGGACCCTCATCTCCTAGATCCCCAAGTTGCCCCTGTCTGGATAAAGCCAAGGAGGGTCCCATTTGCTCTACAGCCCAACATTGATGAGCAACTGGATAAACTTGTTGTCCAAGGGGTCTTAGAGACAATGGACCATGCTAAGTGGGAGACACCAATAATAACCCCCATGAAGCAGATGGATCAGTGCATTTGTGCGGTGACTATAAAAATATACTGAATAAAGCCTCACAGCAGAGCGCATATCCCGTGCCAGTTGTGCAACACTTTTACATTCCCTGGGTCAGGGAAAGGTGTTTGCAAAACTTGAGCTGCCGGTTGATGATGACACAGCAGAGGTCCAAACTATAGTCATGCATAGGGGAGCATTCAAATGCAGGCGGTTGCAGTTTGGCCCCAGGGTTGTTCCAAAGCCTCATGGAGCACCTCTTACAGGGAATTGAAGGAGTCATCCCCTATTTCAAATGATGTCCTAATATCAGCTATTAGTCATGAACAGCTACAACAAAGACTAAGGGCAATATTAACCCAATTCCAAGAAGTGGGGTTAAAAGTAAAAAAAGATAAATGCCATCTAGCGGTGGAAAAAGTTGAATTTCTGGGATACCTAATTGACAGTTCCAGAATACAACCCACTATTGGCAAACTGAAGGCAATTTGAGAAGCCCCAACCCCAACAATAAAACAGAACTCCAGGCATTCCTGGGGTTATTAAATTTCTACAATATTTTCCTGCCACAGAAAACCACGATTGCTGAGCCATTGCACCATTTACTGGACAAAAAGATGGATTTGACTTGGAGACGCAAAGAAGCGAATGCAGTCGAACAAATAAAAAAACTAACATTAGACAGCATCCTAGTCCAGTATAGCGAAATATTACCAGTAAGACTTGCAATATGTCACCGTTCAGAATAAGGGCAATCCTAAACCATTGCATACCCAATAGAAGAGAAGCACCCATTGTTTCTACTCCAGGACTCTATCCAAACTGGAAAGAAATTACAGTCAGCTCGACAAAGATTCCACAAATATCTCTATGGAAGGAAGTTCGAGCTGATAACTGACAATAAACCACTCCTGGGGATCTTTGCAGGAGATCAACCAACACCTCACGTATTATCTCCACGAATGCTGAGATGGATGGAATTCCTCGCTGCTTATAATTACCAGCTGCTCTAGAGACCCAGGAAGACGATCGACCACGCAGATGCCCTCAGCAGATGCCCGCTGCTGGAACCGGTGGAAGACCCAGC